TAGAGAAAATAGATGGGGTTATGGTTATTCCTAGAATTGTGTTTGATAATGGGGTAGTAGTAGTGATATATCGGTGAAATTTAGGGGGGAGTATAGGAATGATCATCTAATGGGTTGACGGTGGCATTATTACCCAAAAGGGGCGAAGGGGGTCCTAACTGAATATGGGGGAGCAAGGTCTCAACGTGACCCTTGGTGAAACCGCTTGAGGCCTCGGTCTTCAGGGCCTCCTGACATTCCTGTTCTCAGTCGAGTACCACGTTGCCGGCAGCTCGCCGGCTCTCGCTCGCGGTCTGCGTGAGACTTCCTTGCCTCTCTCCCAGCGCTGGCTGCGTCGCAGCTGGCGGAGAGGCCTGACGCAGTCTACTTCAGTCAGGTCGCTCCTCTTCGGGTACTTCCGAGCTGGAGAACTGGAGAACCGTCGAGATTTGCTTGGTCGCACTGCAGGTGGGAAGGACATGGCACGCGCAGGCTACACCACATGACCTCACTTCTACTTCAGTACGGCAACCCCGCACAACATGATGACGATCGTCCTGATCTTGACGACGTGGCCGCTGTGGCGCAGTTCGCCGTCGGCTTGAGAGGATGCAGTGTAGCCATGCCTGCCAGAGTCTGTGTGCTCTCACTGATAGGGGCCTCTGCCGGGAAAACAGGCCAGTAGCTCCAGGATTATGACCGCAAGTATGTGGAGAAACAGCACATGTAGCCGCAAGTCGGCGGAGAGCCGCTTAATCGTCTCTTCTTGCGAAGGAAGTCGCAAGTAGAGCCTGGCTGCGGGGTTGTGCTGCAAGCGCCATGCAGAGCGCTACAGATTCACGGTCTCACTAAACATGCCAGACAGACACATGCCCAGCGAGCGCGGCCAAAGCCATAGTCACCGGGGCATGCAAACCGCTGGGGTCGACCTCTCGACACCGAAAGTAGTGCTGCTTGGCCATATTAAGGTCCTGCAGAGTTGCTTCACTTTGATGAGCGAACACTCAGTGTTGTACGCACACAACCCGCTTGGTCCTGCACGATTCCTATTCCGAACTGATGCATGAAGCCCAAATTAAAGGAGGCTCTGGCCACGAAGGACTGCATCCACTCACCCGTCACGGTCATATCGGCCGTCTTCCGGTACCGAGCCAGAGCAGCTTCGTAATCGACTGGTTGTGGATGGAGCTCCACCTTGTCGTTGGTGTAAATGGATGGCAAGGGGAAATCTTCCCAACCGCCATTGCCCGGTTCGCCCAGCTCGGTGGGCGCCTCCTCCGATGGCAGCGGCGCCTCGGTGAAGCGCGCCGTCATTCCCCAACCTGGGCTTGCAAGTTGCTCCGACACTTATATATTCGATCCCCCGATGCTTTCTTTGTAGTAGAGACTCGAAAAAAATCAAAAAAAATCTGCTCGGACTTCTCTCTCTGAAGAGCCGTAGTAGGCGTAGTCGCCCAAGCGCAGCTCCGACGAGGCGCTGCCCTGCTCGGCCGAGAGCTCGTAGAAACGCCTCGCGCCCGCACGAAAAACACGCGCACCCAGGAGCCCTAAACCCTCTCTGCACCTCTCTAATGTAGGAACCTGATTAAGAAACCCTGGGGCCCTATAGCCCCAATATATTAGGGTTCATGTTAAGAACCCTAATGAAGAGCCAGGGTTTCTTGATCAGGTTCCTACATTATCCCCCCCTCCAATCCGAGGCTGGGGCTGGGCGACGTTCTGCCCGGGGAGTCGAGGAGAGTCTTCCCAGAAGAAGTCGTCATGACGCGCCGTGCGTTCTCGGCTCGGATCAGGTTCATTTGGCACAGACAAAAACCCGAAAAACACCGAGCCGGAAGCGCAACAAGACTACTGACTCTGACGCAAGCGTGGCAACCGCGGCACGAGCAGGTGGATCGGGCGTGAGTAGGGAAGCGTGCCCGTGGTCAAAGAGATGCGCCGCGTTCATCTGCGAGACCTCGCCGAAGTATGGCTTGAAACTCAAGCTTGCTAGTTGTTAGCTGCAAACCCGGACAGCGGCGTGGCCTCATGGCCAGCCTCGGCAAGCTTGAGGAACATCAGGGCTGCTTTGTCCGGCTGTTTCTCGCCTGCTAGTCATTTGCACTGCTCGCCGCTGTGATGGGTGTTACGGACGGAAGGCCCCGACTGAAGTCATACGCACTGACCAGCTTGCTGGATACCCACTCCCCGCGCTCGCAGACCTGCAGCAGCAAGAGGCAGCCGCTCCGACCTCCATCCATCCTATCGACTGCAACGGTCGCCTTCTTCAGCAGGTTCACGGCGATGTCACAGTCCCGTACCGTCCTGCATCGGTCAGCAGCGGCGGGACGAGCTTCGGTGTGGGGCTTGGAAAGAAAATGAGGGTTGGGCCCTATGCCGTTCAAGTGCATGACAGCAAGAGAGTAGGCGGCAGGAGTATGACCACGATCCAAGGCCTCGTCATGGGTGACAAAGCCCCCAGCTTCTGATTGCGAGAGAACTTGGCGCACCTGTGTGTAGTACAGCACGGCCTTCTGGAAGCTCTGCTCCGTGCCAGAGCCTGTGAGGTACCTGGCGAAAACGGACACAGAGAGCACCGTCTTTGTAAGTCGCTTGATAACCAGGCTTGCAGAGCATGCTGGCCAGGTTGAACATGCCATCCGAGGACCCGCCGAAGGCTGACTCGTTGAAGTGCTTGAAGGCCAAGCGAAGATTCCGAGCCTCCAGGGGTTGGGGACTTGAGGCCACTCACAACACCGATCACACGTCGTTGGTGTGTTTCAAACATCTAATTTCGGTTCGGCTGCGGGCTGTGCATGCATGGTGGATGGCCAACAGCAGAAGCAATTTCTGTTACACGTTACACGATGTCAAATCGCGAAGGGATTCTTCAGAATTCAGCTCACCTCCGTCCACTCTTGGGAGGCACGAACACAAACAAACTGAGAGAGCGAGAGAGGAACCCGCAGACAGACCGACACGCAAAGAGATCATGGCACCCGCAGCCCCAAGGATGCCAGAGACAAAGAAGCTGAAAGCTCTGAAAGGCTTCCGAGAGAATGCAAGCGTGCACTGTTGCACCTGCAGAAAAGCTGCTGGATTAAGGGTTACGCTGGCAGCTTGAAGACCTGGTGCTGGCGTCTTCAGCCCGTGCTGCCTAGGGTTCCCAATGGTTTCCGGCATCATCCCTGAACTTGTGTTTGAGCTGCAATACATTCCACTAGCGTTTTATCTGAAAGTTATGCTACTGTACAATGCTACAAGCGATCCATGATTCAGTTTCAAACCTCGACCTGTCTTCCTTCCAAACAGTCGGGGGACAGGAGTTTCCCTCTGCAGTCTCATTCCCGTGTCTTGCTCGCTTGCTTGCCTGAGAATGCTTGAGATGGCCCTGGTGCAAGGCCTGCTCGCCTTGTAGGGATTCCCCCGCTATTCACCTGTTCGGTCTCTGAGAAAGCTATGCATGATAAGTGCCAGTCTCTCTCTCTCCCTCTATTGCTTTCTTTCTTTCGCAAGGGCTAGGGAACAAGGGGATTGCTGCCCCTTGCCCGCGCGCGTTAGCGCCCCCAGACCGTTGTGGAGAAGTCTCTCCCTCTCTCAACTTCTCTTTCTAGATGCTTGTCTATACAAGTGCGTCTGAGTCCCTGCGTGTCTGTCCGTCTAGATTCCTGTGTCACGTTGTTCCCACGGAGCCACTGACCTACTGCTGTTCTGCACGTCTCGAATGAGTATCCGAAGTGGGCGAAAGCTAAGATCGGGCTTTGAGGCCCTGCAGGGTCCTGCCTTCGACAGCGCACTAAGTCCAACAACCCACGGACTCTGCCGGTCCTAGCGGCCCACCTGCGCATTGGTGCCGCGGAAATAAATGTAGCCCAGGCCATTGTGCCCCAAGGGGTCGTTCGACGATGCCGCCGTCACGAAGTAAGCGTACGCTGTCTCCAAGTTCTGGGGTGTGCCAAGGCCTCCAAAGAAGGTTCAACAATTGACAAAAATCTATGCAAAAGACATATGTGGGTATGTGTGCATATATGTACGTGTGTGTATATATGCGTATGTGCATGAGCATATATATATATATATGCACACACACACACACACATGTACACACATCCATGCATGTGTACACACATACACACACACATAAAAAAAAGACACTCTATACGTACATACATATATATATATATGTGTCTATATGTATTTTTCGGCACGCCGACCCATGCAGATATTTCAAAAACATTGCCTCTATACTTACATGTAAACACATTTATTTGCCGCGAAAATCTCTAATTTCCTCTGTCCCTATGTGTAGGGTCTACTTATTTATGCACACTGAACGGCATGCTATCACATGAGCGGCACGTCACAGCTGCTGTGTGCTGCAGATTAACACGAAAGGCTGTGTGTTGGGCGGTGGAGCTGCGAGACGTAGCACTCCGACTTCAGCTATCGCTGTCCGTCGAAGGTAGGCATTCCACGCGATTCCTGGGTATGAGTCTTGGGTTTACATCATTGATGGTCTGAAGTTGAAGGCCGTTTTTGAGGTCAACATTGGACACGCCATGGCGGCCAAGACTCCTGTCCGCACCCTGCAGGGTTTGTTTCACATTCCATTGGTGTTGTGCGCAAGTCCATCTTGGAAGTAGGCTTTGCAAGGTAGCCTAAACAATCGCCGCACTCTACAGCT